AGATAAAGCAAAGCCTTCACAATGCATAAACCATGGCCCAAAAGTGAATGCAGGTTTGAATGAAGTACGTCTTTTTCCTTGCTTTTAAATGTTTTTATTTGCTTTTCAATTTTGCTGGCATTGAGGTTAAGAGAAGAATAAGAAGCCAAACAGAAGAACAACAAGTCCTAAAGTCCTCCCTAGGACACTGTTATTAATAGTTTTTTTTTAAAATCAACATTCATAGTTGTCAGGTCTACAAGAAAGCTATCTTCAAATTATGCCGTAATATGGAACCTAGCATGCATTTGAACAGTACTTTTGAGGTTTATTCATCACTGCTTTTGTAAAGAAAAAAAAAAAACAAAAAACCACAAACCCCAGACAATCTTCTTTTCCCAAACATCTCTTAAGAATAACCAAAGAAGAAATATAGCTTTCTAATGAAAAGCTCTGGATGATTTTTGAAAAGCTTCTTTTTATTCAGTGTTTTGAGGACAATGTTGCAAATCTCTCAAAGGTGATACAGTTGCACCTGACCCACCTTGTACCGTTCTGAGCTAATTCTCTGCTACACTGCAAGTCATAAAATTAGCATTCTGTGATATCCATCATTATTCCTGCAATTCAATAGCTGTATTCATGAAAATCTCAGGATAAAATGAGAACTGTTAAACTGAACATGTTAGAATACTTCATTCATAAGCAATGATTCAGAGAAAAAGGTAGAAATCTTACGAAATGTGAGCCTCTGTTGGGACACTTATTACTGACTTTAATATGAAAAAATGTCATAGAGGATGACAATTATTGCTATAATATAAAATTTTGTAAGGCATACTCTGGCTACATTAATGCATACTGCCTCCCCATGAAGCTGAGCACATCATGGCTCACAGTGAGTTTTTTAGAGTTATTTCAAACCATCTTAAAATATCTTCAAGAGTGCTTCATAATGCAGCGGGGCTCAATGCCAGCAAAAAGACTCAAAAGCCAAGACAAGGCCCCAGTGGCACAGAAGGTCACCACCCTGTCCCCAAAGGGCAGGATGCAACAAGCCAGAGAGTGAATGAAACACTATTCCAGTAGTGTCCAGCACAAGCAATGCTTTTTCTAAAAACACTTCTGAGGTCTAACTATCAGCAGTTGCGGGCATGGTCAATTAAAGTTTTTTTTAAAGCCTCTTCTCTGCAAATCCCTCTCCTCAATTGCATTGAGTCAGCTGGAAAACTTTGCTACTTCTGAGGGCAAAAAAGAATAAATTATTTTATTGCTGAGTTATAAACTAATGAGTATATTATCACTGAAAAGCAAAGAGCATTCCTGAGGAGGATGGGAAGATTCTGATCTGACAGACAGGACTGTGATTCTGTGACTTAAAACTACAGTAAACCAGCTGAAATCAGTGCAGTAGCAATATTTGATGCCAATGCACATGACACCCAAATGAACAACACTGATATTTGGTTTGGTTTTTTTAACAAATCTTTTGTTCTCATTATACAGCACACAGGCAGTCACTGAGATGCACTTTTTTCAACCTTTAAGTAAATTAAATTGTAATACTAATGTACCTAACAGCGTATATGAAACATTTCAGTGTTATGCTTATCAGAATTCCACTGGAAAAGATATTATGGTGAAATGCACACATTAAGCCATGCATACAGCTTTATTAAAATAAAGGATCAGAGTCTGGGGACCTTTTAAATCTATTTTCTGTTTTTAAATGGCACACACTGGCATTTCCACAGTTTCCTAACTTGAAACGTTTATTTAAAAAAAGGGAAACTTCAAAAAAAGTTTAATTAATGTCTCCTGGAACATAACCAGGAACTTGAAAAACTGCACTGAGGTTTAGAGAAATTCATAGGTAATTTGCTTGACATACCCTGAAGTGCATGAAATAAAATACTATAGCTTATATTGTTCCAGACAAACATATAGACTTTGGCCATACACTTGAATATATGGTTTCTGAAATCAGCCTTCTGGAATTTTAAAAAGCAAGTAGTTCTTCCACTGCTCTCTTCTGAAACAGAGATCTACTGAAATTAGGGATGGATTCAGCTGTTCATTACTAGACTCAGAGTTTGGCCCACAGGGAGAATTTATACCAGTTTACCAGTGTATTGCTTCCCCTCAGACGCAGGAAATTTTGGTGCCCTCCTCTAGTGCCAATCATTGTATCTGCCTTTATTTTAAATGACTGTGCTATGTAAATCCAATCCATTAGCTCAAGAGACTCAGAACAAAAACTGTGTTCCTTTACCCTCTGCCTGATCTCTCTTCTCACTTTTTCTTTCTAGTCACTTCCCATAGTGCGGTGTTTCTTGCCTGTGAAATCCATGGCTGTGGCATCACAGAAAAAATATCTTACATCATGTTATAAAAGTTGCCATTCCTGGCCAAAGCCTGACAGACAGTAAACATACAGCTTATAATTAGGATTCTGACAGGTCTCTGTGAGAAGCAGAGTGTGGAGCCAGATGCAAGCACAAAGCAAGCTTTTGCCCCCTCAGGTAACATTACAGGGAAACCCAGAGTAACCCACTTATCTTACAAGCAGCAACACTTGCAAGCTAAAGAGCTACTAACGAAAACATAGAATGACACTAAATATAAAAGATTAGTTTCAGCAATGCTAGAATGGAGAAAAAAATTGAAAATAGAACATTGCAAAAGCAAAAGTAAATTGTAAAATAAATATTTCAGGATTTAAACTAATAATAGAAAAGCCCATAAATCATTTTTACAATTGCTCCCTTTCCTACCAAACATCCATTCTCTCCAAATGGATGCCTATTACCAGTTCTTCAGCATACATTATGGGATAAAGAGGACTGTAGGAATCTAATTTACTACTGCAGGGAAGAGATGCCAAGGGAGGGGTTAGAGGAGTAGCAGAAAATCCTGGAGAGAGCTGCATTTTTCTAGGAGACTGAGTATTGCTCTGCACAGTGTGACTTTGTACAGCATGACGTGTAACACCAAGCCAAGACAGCCAAACCAAACGTTACCTTCCTCTCGATTTCTGCCCTCCTCTTTGGAATCAGGAACCTAAGTATTTAAGGCACTGGAAGGGTAAGAAAGGCAAGCCTGAAAAAAAGGCACAGCCTACTATAAAAATACGATACTGGTACTAACACAAAATGTGGCTGAACAGGTCTTCCTGAAAGATTAAGTGGTTCCTGTGATTTCTGATCTATTTCAGGTAAGAAATAATGAAAAAGAATAATTTTGACAAGCCCATAGAGCAGAGTGCAAAGTGTATTTGTTAGTGAGCTTGTCACGGTGACTACAGGCTCTCAGAAACACTGATATTTCTGACATTGCTCTGCAAGGTGCCCACTGGAATAATTGCCTATAAATTATAGAAAATCAGACTCAAACTCTAAAACCCACTCTTTTCAGAAAAATTATTTTTCTTCTTCTATGACTGCCTTGTGGCCAGTTCTGCCATATCCAGAGGCCTCAGGCCCTGCAGCACCAAAAGCCATTCAGATTCACTGAGTTCCTGACATCACATTAACTTTATCTGTTTCAAAGGTGCAGGAATGAATTTCTACAAACACGTTCCAGAGCCCAAGTCCACCAATCAAAGTTGCTTTTTATTTTTATTTTCCTATCAAGCTGCCATGTATTACATGAGGGAGGGGGCAAAAATTAAGGCCAGCAAGAGTGCATCAGTAAAACCACATCAAATGACTGAACTACCTGCTGAGGCAAATCAAAAGTCTTCCTCAGTTTACAAGATGTTTCTGAATCATGTATGTGTGTGTGTGTATGTGTGTACACATGTTAATTTTGGTTTTGTTTTACTTAGTTTACAGTTTACTGTTTCATGTGATTTTTCATTTACTTCATTGCATTGCTACATCATAAATTGTGCCATAAACTACGAATAACAACTCATAAATCCTGCATGCCAATCTACCCACACTGTTCCGGGAGCAGGTGTTTCAAGAAAAGCTTGGTCAGCTTTAGGCAACTCTAAACACAGTATTATTCACTGGAACTGGAATTAGATTTGACATAAGCCTGCATCAAGTTGATGGGTTTTGTGTCTACTTTAAAGATTCAGGATTTTACTTTTACCTTCTTTGATAGTCAGTAGAAGAGGTAGAAGTGCATAGCCTGGGGTGGGGAACTTACTTACTTGTTTCCCAATAAGTTTCTTTTCTGTACAAATCTGAGATACATTTATGATCAGCAGTGAGTCTCAGGATCTAGCTACAGGGATCACGTAACAGCTGTAACGATGGCAAGGATAAGAGAAGCCCTTTGGTCAGCATTTTCCTTCAAGAAGATGAATTCAGATTTGCCTTGTATTTTAGGAGTTCAGAATTAACCCCCCAGATTTTTCTCTAAGTTCAGTATCCTGTGCTTATTAAAATTTCATCACTAAAGCTGCCAGAAAATAAGACTTGTAAATAATGCCCAGCATGGCCCCACTGACAAACACCTAGGCAAGCACTCAGCAATCAGACATGGGCAGCCCAGTCCTTCATATCATGAAGAGCAAAATCTGAGTACACACAGAAGAAAAGCAGCAAGGTAAATCCTGCCAAAGAGAAGAGGAGAACTGGAAATCTAAAGGAGATGTCTAAGAAACACAGAAAGACATTTTATACAAAAGAGAAAGTGACTACACACATGCAATCATACAACTGAAACAGGAAGAGCACAGAAAGCATATAATCTTGAAAGCACTCTAAAGTACTAAAACTTATTAGGTCCCTAATCTACTGTTACACTCAAAATTCTGCTGACCAGACACCTTAAACATACAGAAACGGCATTCTATCTTTGAACATAGTCTTTTTAACAGGTCCCACTTGTGCATATTTGAAGACAGCCCAGCAAGACCGTGGGATGAAAAAGGGAGAAAATACACTGACAGTATTTGAAATGCCAATGGGATGAGCAGGAGCCAGAATTCAAGGATTTGTGTGTATGATCCAACCTCTCTGGACGAGAAAAAAAAAAAAAAAACAAAAAGCCCAAGCAAAAGCTCTTACCATTATTACTGTTATCATCAACTAAAATAATCTCTTTGAGCAGGTGAGCAGGAGTCCGGTCAATGGCTGAATGAATGGAACGCAGAATCACTGAGAGAGCTTCGTTGACAAATATGAATACAATGCTGACCTCAGGAAGCCTATCAGGGAATGTAAGGTTTCTGCACCTGAAGGAAAAGACAAAAAAGAAAAAAAAAAGATTTAAACTGTTGGAAGTCATGATGTCAACACAAACTATTTCAGAGAAATCTATCCCCAGCCATAAGAATGATGAGAGCTTTTGCAGGCATGGATCAGAAGGTCCCCATACCTGTTCAGAGCACGTATAAGCACAAACCAAATGAATTAATATCTAAGAAAATGAATTCCTACAATCTCCTGAATCTGCCTGTGCAACCAAGGGCTAGAGTGAGCTCACTTTTCCACCCAAGGCCCAAACCGCTGAAAATTAGTTTGCAAACCAAATGCAAACTCTTGTTTAAATGCAGCTTCCAACAGCTGTTGTTCAAGATGTCTTCCTGGACAGCGCAGAAACAAATAAACAAGTTAGCCCCTTATTCTAGAAAGCATTTCCTTAATAGCCATGTTAATTATTTTTGCTACAGAATCTACCATCCTATCTCAGTCAAAATCAGGGGCTTCTTTCTCCACTCAGTAACAACACAGCAAAAGATCCAGCTCCAAGGAACATCCTGCTACAAAAGCTAAGACAGACAGTGTAGCCAGAAACATAGCTACAAGGATGGAAAACTTATCTGTAAGCTCAGTCAAGAGATTTAATCAGAATGAGAAATACTCTCATAACTCAGTGGATTTTCCTGTGCTTTTTAAAAATACATATTTTAGGCACATTCCAATTTGCTTATGCAAACAGCAGTATGGAAGTACTGCCCACAACCTTGAAGCTCCTTAATGTTTCATTGTTTTGTTCTCTCCTTCATTTCAAAAAGGATTCAAATTTTATGATTTTATGAAGAATAGAAAGCCTTTTTACCAATTTCTGTCTTTTAAACTGTCAGCAAAATGTTTGCTTTTTTTAATAAAGTCAGAAGTTCATTAAGTAAAAGTAATTAACTACTTTTCTCTGAAACTTTCAGTATTTTAATGCAATGTTTTTGAACAACAGTTAATTCTAACCTTTTCTCAGATCTGAAACTATTTACTAGGATGAAATTAGGCCACAAGCTAACCCAGGCATCATTTCTAGATAGGCTCTGTAGATGGAAATGGTTGATGTTAATGCACTTGTCTGCCTCCTCACAATGCTGAAGTGGCTATCTTCTCTCAACGTGCCTAGGTTCGCTACACCCAGGAATTTCTGGAAGCTGTGGAAAGCAGTACTAACAGCCGATGTGTAGCATACAGAAAGCATGGATGGATTCAGAATTTTTAAATCATGCTTGAATATGACTCCTTAACTAAATTTTTTTTTCAGTTCAAAGAGAAAGCATTGCATTTTTTTTATTTTGTATTTTAATCTGTATAGTCAATAAACACAGAGAAGTATTGCAAAAGCATTCCTATTCACATTCTGGATATTGCACAAAAGTTAAGTTCAATAGAGATGAAGAATTTACATGGAAGTTTTTAAAGCTTCTGAAAAGAGTCAGTGCACAGGACACATGACATTCAAAACCACCAAGATACACATAATGGTCAAAATTTAGCTGGTCAACCAATTCTCTCAATTCAGTCTTTAGTCTGAAATTGATGGAAATCACATTAAAGTTATTTAATATTTTAAGATACTTTTCTCTCTGTCACCATATGAAAGAATTATACAGACATGTAAAAGAGAAACCACAGTCTTGAAAAAGTAACGACAGCTCTTTTAGTCTTAAAAGGTATACACTACATTTTTTGCTAAGCTGGTTCATTCATCTTTCAGAAACAAATAAGAAAACTGTTCACAGAGATCCACAGGTTTTTGTTCCATGGCATCAATGCAAGAGACAAACAGCTAAAATGGTATTTGGATTTACCGATTCCCACTTGTAGCTTGATCTTTAGGCAGTGTAACAAATCAAAACTTACTTTCCAAAATCAATTTGTATTTCTACTGCTGTGTTGGTCCCTTATTTTCACTGGTAAGAGAGCTTTCAGCTTTAAGCATCAGACTGAAAAATTTTCTTTGAAGCTTTCAGGAGAGCTAAAAGCATGTCACTTTTTTTTTTTTTGAGCACCACTGGACAGCAGATCAGATGTAGCAACAGCTTGTGGAAGTGTCACTGTGTCATTTATAACCAATTTTTTTCTTTAAAGTGAATGCCAATCCATTAAAGATGACCAGTAATAAAATTTCACTACTCTTTGAAAATCAGATTCTCATAAAGGCTTACACTTGGACATCTTCCATACCTGGCCTTTCAAAGCAGGTGCAGTCGTGATTCTTACTGGTTTCAGGGAGTTTTGCTGGCAATCAAGATTTTCTAAGAAGGATTTATCAATAGATTCGTAAGGGAAATCTAAATACTGCACCTTCAGCAGAGGGATATATGTAACCTGTAAAGTACATAGCAGCTCAGAAGCACACATACAAGATAGGAAAGGAGCTTTCTCCATGAAGCACTGTGGGCCTTCTGAATTAATCAGAGCCATAGGTCCTTTCCTAGAGATAAGAACCCGAGTGGTTTTTATTCAAAACAAAACACTACAACAAGAGGCAGAGGGACCTGCCTTTTCTTCCAGAAGACGACTAGTGCAAGGCAGCACTGGCTTTCTCTTTTAGCCAGCAGTTCAGGAGTTAAAACCTTCAATCAGGACAGAAGGAGCATGAGTTCAATCTTCTCTGACCTCCCCAGAGAGCTATCTACCTACTTGCCAGCTTGGTGTGATTATTTCCAGTCCCCCTTTTCAGAGCGATTCTACTTTCTGTGGAGCCATTAAATGTATGCTAAACTGGAGTAACCAAGTAAGTCTTTCTAGCCCCATGTTTAGGGCAAATTTCTTGGAGGAAGGACTTCACAGTACACATTCCAATGGATGTTAATGCATTTTAAATCCCGGACTTCGCTCTTTGTGGCTATGTCCTATCTTCTAGATTATATACCACAGTAACTCTTGTGATCACTTTTTTCTTTCTTTTCCAAGCTAATATTTATTGTTTTCATTTAAGAAGTGCTGTTTTGGCTGAAGGAATAAATGCACCTTCACAGAGCCTGCAAATCAGGCATCAGGGCACTTTATCAGGAAGCAAAACAGAATCACAGAATGACTGAGGTTGGAACAGGCCTCTGGAGATCATCCTGTCCAACCCCCTGCTCAAGCAGGGTCACCTACAGCCAGCTGCTCAGGACCCTATCCAGGCAGCTTTTGGGTATCTCCAAGGATGGAGACTCTACAACCTCCCTGGGCAACCTGAGCCAGTGCTCGGCCACAGTAAAAAAGTGTTTCAGTTTGTGCCCATTGCCTCTGGTCCTGTCACTGGGCATCACTGAGAAGAGCCTGGCTCCATCCTCTTTGCAGCGTCCCTTCAGATTTTATATACATGGATGACAACCCCCCACCCCAAGCTTCCTCTTTTCTAGGCTAAGCAGTCCCAACTCTATATACACATATAAGGTTTAAAATCTTCTTAGGGAGAAAAGATAGTTCTCCACACCTGCCCCCTGTACCCTAGTGTGAGTATGTTAACCTCTGAAATCATTCATTACAGAAAGGTCACCTTCTGTGGTGAACCATGTCTTAAAGCACTGCTTAAAAATATTGCACAGATGACTGAGTAGGTAAAGCAGGCACAAATTGACTTGGGCTCAGCACTGTTAGATCCGAGGTGAATCTTTGGCAAATGTGAGTTTTAGGTGCCACCAGGGTATCTGAAAATAGGATTTTCAAGGTGTCTATTTCAGGTTCAAAGTGTCTGGGAGACCCCTGTGCTTATGATCACACTACAATTTTTAAATACTAACCCTCACAGTTTTCCAAAAGATGCTAAGAGCATTACAGATCCATCTCCTTGAAGTACAGACCTGTTCATGGCACATGGTGTGTGTGCACGTGCATGCCATTCTGCATTGACAAAACAAATTCCATATGCAATCTGGATACACATACTTTGTAGATGTCATCTCTCACATGCAAGTTAGATGTAAAAATTAGCATGGACATAATGAGAAATGACTGACAAAATTCTAGTCTCCTGTATACTTTTATAAAGCTAGCACATTTCTGTTTGACATAATAATTGAAATTTCATCCAAGTTTTGAAAATTGGGCTTCAAATGGACTATGAACTAGTTAACAGGCTTAAATATAGTGAAATAATTATCAGAATTAGCCTGTAAAGAACCTACCAAGCCTGTTGTTTTAGTGATTCACTTGCAGCCAAAAGGCATAGAGATATAAAATGGTCCAGCAAACAAAGGTACAGCCAATCTATCTTTTAGCTGTCTAGCTTAGGCATAGTAATATTTGTTATCCTCAGCCATACCAATGTACAAAGAAGATAAAAATGAAACTCTAGCAAAAATGGTAAGATATGTCACCTATCAGATAAAAAGCAACACAGTCATTTTGGAAAATATTCTAAATGGCAATGAAAATACACTGAAAATAGTTCAAAGAAGTTGCTTCCTTAAAAACTGATTTTTTTCTCCTCTGCTAATTAAGCTAACATTGAGATATATGTAAAATATTTTTGTAATAAATTAGTAATAAGCTATGCTCAAAAAATGTTCCAGATGACAAAATCAGCGCCCAAAACACTGCTGCCCTATCACAAATCCATGCATAAACTGAAACATTCAAACAAAATTTCTGCTTCTGACATGTCTTCCATTCATTTAACAGAAATTATTTGCATTGTTTTTCCTACCTGCATTCATGTACATCGTTTCAAATTAGACCACACTGGACAAGATTTTCCATTGTCTGGCACCTTGTGCAAGATGAGAGCAAAGTGTTTAATGCTGTGAATGTCATTTGACTCCCTTTTTGCTCCACCATACATTAAAAGATAACTACATATATGACAATAGAATTAGGCTTCCGTTGTGTCTAATTTCTTTAGTCTTTTCAAATGGATTCTTTTTCAATGAGGTTACATTCCTAAATTGAGTTCATGTTTTTGTTTTTCCATTCAGACTCATTTATCATCTTTACTTCCAGCTTGAATTCACTTCTTTTTCAGTGTAGAGTTTTTTAAAAAAATGCATTTTCCTGCATACAA